CCGGTCTCCCCATTTAGCCTCTTGCATTTCCATGTTTTCATTTTATTTATTTATAGTCCTATCAGGAGTATATCAGGGTTCTTGTTTCCCTGTGTCAGCTGTGGTTTTTCAAGGTGTTGTGTTTTCGTGGGATTCTTGGGGCTTTTGTAGGTCATTTAGATTGTGCTCAAATTCTTTAGGAGGTAAACTTGTAGCATGAGGTATGGTTCTGTAGGTGCTGGTGTTGAAATGTCAGAGGTAGGCCAGACTTAGAAAAGAGTGATCTGCTTCATTTTCCAAGGCTAGCTAACTGTTCATCTCTAGCTTGAGCACAATATCCAGCCCTAGATTATTCTAGAAGCTTTTTTTGTTCTCCACATCCACTTTCTTTCTAACAACATCTTTTCTTAGGCTTCTGGGTACATGTGAGAGTAAGGAAGACTCTGTGCCCTGGATAATATGCTACCAGAAACCACTAATTCACCTCTAACCATTGGTGCAGACAGGATATATACTACATGGGAGCCTATGCCAAAGCCTAGAAAATTTGTGTAAGTCACATGCTAGAGACATCATGTACCATTCCCTTTTATTTTTCTTTAAAAAAAAAAAAAGTCATTTGTTTGGTATCCTTTGAGCTCACAGAACTGCATCTAGCCATCCTCCTTTGGGTGGTTTAGATCCGCTCTCTCCGGGCAGTGCTTTGAAGTCTGTGAAATACACGTATAATTTAGGCTGACATGCTTGGCAGGCCCATTGAGAAAGCAGATTGTTTGATGGCATGACACAAGAGGTCTGTTAACTGAGTTATAAAGAACTGAGGCATTTCCAGCAAACCCTAGCTTCGGCACGAAGTCTCAATAGCTCTTACTTTGTGGCATGCGGTCGGTACTTCCAGTGATGTAATATGGCCTCTCTGCGCAGAAGGCAAGGAGGTGGGAATTTGAGGGTCGGACCTTTGAGGAACGTGAAAAGCAGTCAGCGGTGGAGTGGGGAGGGGGCACCTCCATAATGAGGTTAATACATAGTCCTAAAAGTCAGTGGCTTTTTGTAAGCTTATTGCAAAATTAAACCTAGAAGTTAATGTTTCTACAGGTATGTTGTAAACATCTTGAAACCTCTATTAAATGGAATAAGCTTTGATTTTAATTATTATCTTTTTGGAGACAAGGTCTTACGCAGCTTAGGATAGCTTCAAACTCACTGTGTACCCAAGAATAACCTTGATCTTCTCATGCCCCTGATGGGCATGTACCACCCACATCTCCAGCTCTTTTTTTAAACTTTTTAAATTTTTAAATTTTTTTTTCTTCTGCAGTCACTCAAAGCACTTAATTTGCTTTAAAAAATTCTATGTTTTTGGTCTAGATATTTGACTGTTATCAGAAATGTTCATTTTAAATAATTTGGAAATTAGGAAAAAGTAGTCCAAGGCAAAGGTTCCCCAAACCAAGCGCCTTTTCGTTTGCATTGGTAAGCTCTCTGAATGGTGGCCTTACTGTTGGCCTGCTCTCACAGCGAATATGGAACTACAAAGTCGTTTCAATACGTGCCTGTGTGTTAAAGTGGAAGCATGTGACACCAACAAATGGGTACCACATGGCAGGAATACCCAGAAGCAAGTCAGTAGTATGAAAGGGATAATTTAGTTCTGTTTCATTTAATTTTTTCCCTTCAGGAGGAGAGAGACAGAATGTGTGTGTGTGTGTGTGTGTGTGTGTGTGTGTGTGTGTGTGTGTGTGTGTGTTCACGTTCCTGCAGCAGAATTAGACCTCACTTCAGTTTGTGCGTGTTGCTGGGTTACCCGGCATTTCTGCCTGCCTGCCTTTAATATTGATCCTTCTCTTCGCACCTTTGATTATAGACTTTGGATAGCAGAGTTCTTTGTCCTGGAAGATGGAAACAACAATGAGGGGTGGCAATATGGAGTCACATTACCTCAGCTGTCCCTTGTGTTGCCTTGGAATATGCCCACTCTGTGCTCCTGGCCTGATGCGGTAGTTGCTTCCCTGTGCTGACCTCTTTTTCCAAACTTTAGTTGTGTATTCAGAAAATAAGTGTTGAGTTTGTGTGAGCCCCAGAGTGCCATTGACCTCCACTATCTAAGGAAAACTAGAGTGCCTTAAGCATAGTGTGCACCAAGAGGTGTTAAATGGTGAGAAGCAGTTCTTTCTCTGGGTCTATTTACTCGGAAGTTTACTCAGAATATAATCTTCATAAATTAACGTACTGTTGATGGACACAAATTCCAGATAAAAAAAATAATTTATTTTAGTGACTTAAATGAAATTCTTGAGAATCACGAAAACTTTGGAGAAGTAAAACATCTGTTCGTTGTACCAAAAATGTTTCAAGAATGCACATCCTTGACTATACATACATAAACAGCTATATATGGTCACACATGCATTTACCCTTATACCGTTTCCCTTCTAAAGCCTTTATGGCACACTGTAGGGTAGTGGAGAGGGTGTGGGTTTTAGTCAGTCCTGAGCAGGGCCTGGGTTGTAACTTCATAGCTGTGGAATTGATAATGATTAGCCCTCGCTATAGCTTGACTTCGGGCAACTTGACTTAATTGCCTGAGGTTTGGCTTCCATCTGTTCCCCAGCAGTAGTAATCCTGGCTGAGGAGGGTCTTGAGCTAAATAACGACACTGAGGGTTGGCTGATAGACACTCCGTACCTGGCCCGAGATTGCTAGTGCTGTGAATGTGGCAGTGTCTTGCTGTTTGTGCCAGCCATGGCTAGTAGCTCTCCCCTGTGGAAAAGCTGTAGAAGAGCTTTTGTTCAGTCCATGTGCACAGGAAGCAAGCAGCTTGTTGTGTTCACTTGATTTCCAAAGACAGATGTTATCTTCTTTCTTTTTCCCTAATTTAAAAAGCACAGTGAGGCCAAATGCATTCAGAATTTGTAAGAGCTGTGTGGCTTTAGGATCTGTTGAAGGGTTGTGGTATATACCTAAGTTATATGCCAGTTTTAAAGCTAAATGATGCTGTTGACTTTAAATCTTCCTTTATGTGCTATGTACTTTTTAAAGCACCACTGTGAAATCCCCAGCAGCATCCCCCTGAAACCCCCCCCCCCCATGTTTTCCCATTTTAGCCACGTTCGCCACATCTTACTCCACACAGCTGCCGTCCAGTCTCAGTTACTCCAAGTCTGCTTTGCTCACCTTGGCATGGGTGGATCATGCATCCTCCAGCCTCTGTGGCTGGCTGCTTTCACTCAGTACAGTGCCTCTGAGAGCTAGTCAGCCGCGTGTTAAGACCTTGACAGTTGCTGAGGATTTACCAGTGGTAGTTAGTATCTCACTGTGTTTCTACTACTTTGGTTCATTATCCAGTTTTCATTGGGGTTCATCTCGAGTTGTGATTCTTATTTGTCTTATTTTTATAGAAGGTATTGTATTAATCATGGAAAGATTTTGAAATAGAAGTGGAAAAAAAATGATCCCATTCAAACATAACCTGTAGATCTGTTTCTTTGGAGTCTTTTTCCCCAGTATGTGGCGTTGTCTGATTATGGCTATGTTTGTATAGTTTGATCCTTCCCACGCTTGTAGAAGTTGTTGTGGTTGTTTAAAACACAGCTAAGCTACCTTCCTCCTGAGCTCTGAAGTGCACGTCACAGCAGCAGTGCTGCATACTCGTGTGTGGAAGACCACTGGGTCTTTCTCATCGCCCCTGGCTGCGGCCCTGTGACCAGCAGTGGTAGTTCTCCACTTTCCTTCCCGTCAGCCCTGGAGGTCACCTTCTCACTCTGTTTCTGTGACCATGTGACTGTGAGGTGTGAGCTTGTGGTAGTGTCCTTGCCTTGCACACAGAAGACTTCAATACCTTACATAGGGGTTCATGTAATTTTGTCCTGCTGTGCTATTTCTCTTGCCATAATAGCTTCATATCTTTTGTTTTACTGCTTCCATGTAAAGAAAAGATTATTTTATTTTATCTGTATGAGTGTCTAGCTTGCATGTTTGTCTGTGCACCACATACGTGCCTGGTGCCCTTGGAGTTCAGAAGAGGGGGTCCAATTCCCAGGAACTGGAGTTCTGGATGGTTGTGAGCCATCATGTGGGTGCTAGGAACCAAACCACACTCCGTAAGAGCAACAAGTGCATTTAACCACTGAGTCATCTGTCCAGCCTCTCATTCCACATTTTAATTGTGAAGGTTTATATGGAATTTTATAAGTGTAACTTACACAGCTTTTTAAAGGTTATAAAACAGACAATACTGTAACTCCAACCTGGCTAAGAGGTGGACTGCTGGGGGCCTCAGCATTTGGTGTGATGCATCTGTTACAGTACCTCCCTATCCTGGGGCAGCCTCCCTCTAACTTGACCGATAGCCATTGCCTTGCTCTGCTTCATAGTTTTCCAACCTATGTGGGTTCTTTTAACAACATAATTTAGTTTGCTCTCCTTTTTAACTGGTTGGCCTTCTTTAAAAATAGAGGATCTAGGGGTCCTAAGTTCAGCCCCTGGCACACTGTCTCCATGTTTTTGTTTATATTATTATTGTAAGTGTTTGCTCTTGTCCATTAAGATAAGCTTTCACAGAAGGCTTCCTCACAGCCACCAAAATACTCTGAGAAGTGACTTGCTGTTCTTCATCCCTGTCTATGTCTCTAGTTCCTTATTGGAAATAATATAGGAAGTGTTTCTGCAGAAGCCTTTTTGGTATTTAGTATGATTATTTAGGTGGTATCATGAATAAAGAATATAAAGCAATAACTGGTACATTTTGCTAGAGTGTTTACAGCAAGTTTTACAAGCAGGTTCTATAGTGAAGCTTTGGACCTGGGGCCAACACTCCTCCCCCTCCAAAGTAAACATCTTTGAGAATTTGGTGGCTGAAAAGTTTGATCTGACCGTGAATTTCTGAGGCTGAATGCTTCTCTTCATGCCGAATAATCTGTTACCTCTTTTTTGTTAGCTTTGTTCACGTTTGGTTGGGATAAGCCAGTTTCTTAAGTAATGGTTACCGTGACCTGATGATCAATCCCTTTTTGCTTTTCTAGATGTAGGTGCGAAAAACTACAGGCATCTCTGTGCTGTTTATTACAACAAGAACCCTGGGTTTGAGATCATCCACGGGCTGCTGGACAGAATTATGCAGCTGCTCGATGTGCCTCCCAGTGAGGAGAAGGGGGGCTATGTGATCAAAGCATCCACAGGTAAGATGCAAAGGCCACATCCTGTTGTTGATAAAGTCCTGTTTGTTTCTTTTGCTTTTGATTTAGAGAGGATGGGCAGTAAAGGGGAGAGAACTTTATTCTAATGAACTGTTAGTTGTTGCTAGAAACTTTCCCTCCCTTTTCCTGCAGCACCTCAGGAAGTTGTTTTTCAGAACTGCTAGGAGCTGCACAGTGTTGCTTCTGCACTAGCTGAGCTGTAGTAACCCCGGCACCACTGTGCTGCCAGCACTGGTGAGCCAGAAAGCCCGGGCCGCAGGCTCAGATGGCCTGAGGGGCAGTCTGTACTCAGCTGCATGGCTGAAGCTTTGAGACAAGGCGAAAAGAAAGCTATTACGAAAAATGTCACTCATTAATCAAGGTGCAAGGTGGGATCTGCTGCCCAAAGCCCAGGCCAGTCTCTGGCTTTCATCCCTTTCATCCAGGCCAACTCAACACTACATGTGCCCTCACGTGCTGGCCTGTCCTTGTCTGAGGAGGTCGGAAGCTTTTGCTTCTCCTCGTCCTGTAGCTTGAATCTAAGTTTATTTTCTTTGACAAGAGACCTAGAAACAATTGAAGAAAAATATTTTTGATCACTTATTCCTGCTCTTCACCTTGCTGTTTTTTATGCCTGCATTTGGCATCCTAACTTGCCACCACAACTTTCATTTTTAAAGTATTACTCAGCAGTTATTTATAGTGAGATTTGGTGAGTAAATATTTTGGGGTTTTACCTATATTTGTTTTTCTTAATCCTCAGATTTTTTTTTTAATTGTGGCTTGTTTTCATTTTTATTTTGAGCCATGTTTTGAAAATAGCTCTGAAATATATAGCTATATTGGGTTATTTGCTCAGCTAAATTGAGAGGTTTAGTAGTAGAAGAAATTAGGCATTTTCATCAGAAATGACCCAGTAAAGATGTGTTATGCTTACATCACAGAGTCCAGTGCTGGGACTGGATCATAGAGTCCATCCAGTGTAACATCTGGGCTTTACAAGTGAAGGAATTAAGGGAAGGCAAGTTGTAGGAGTTGGGCCTGGTTACTTGTGTTCAAACTTCTCTACCAGTTGCCTCCAGGGTTCATTGTCCATGGTCAGTCAGCAGCTTACCATTCTAAAAATCTACTCCAAGATCAAAACATTAGTGAGCTTGTGGGAAGTGATAGGGATAGGAAAGAATAGGTGGAGCCAGGGTCTACAGGTGGGTGCTGTGGGATGTGTGTGTCGTAGAGTACCATTTGTTTGACTCCAAGCTGGGAAGGCCTTCTACATGCTGGCAAGGGGCTTCAGCTAGCTAGAGGGAAGTGTTGAAGCTACTGATTCTTTTGAAGCAGGTGAGTGGTAGATGTCCGCACTTCAGTGGGGTTAATGCGTCAGCAATGAGGCTGGGTCAGGAGCGTGGAGAGTGGTGAAGAAATGGTGGGGAGGCTTTGCAGTGTGCTATACAGCAGTGCTGAGTGCTCCATGTGACTGAGAAGCCTGATGGAGGCTCCACTAAAGACAAGAGCAGCAGTGGCCAGTGTGATGCTGGAGATTTCCTAGTCCATAGTCATAGTCCATACCACTGAGAGCCCTGTGTGACAAGCCAGCAGTTGTTGATCTGAACATTACATTTTTGTAATTCTAGACTTAGGTCATTTGAATCCTGTGAATATTAAAGTTCAAGCAATAGAGAACTTATCAGCATCTAACTTCCCTAATAGCAGATAATCTGCTATTTTGGCCCAAAATTGTTTTTAAATTACAAAATGCATCCATAAGTTATAACCGCCCCCTCTTTCATTTTTTGAGACAGTCTCACTGTGTAACTCTGAACTCACTATGTAGCCCAGTCTGGCTTGAACTCAGAGATTGATCTGCTTCTTCTCCCTCCTATTGAATCTAGGATAAAAAGTGTATGCCACCACACCCACCCAGCAATTACAGCTTTCTTCATTACTTGTAAGTCTTTATGTGCCTTTGATTAGGGTAAATTGTTACCCTTTTCCTTCTTTTCAGTGCTAGAGAATACACCCGGGACCTTGGGCTGTTGAAGCAAAGTCTCTGCACTGAGCTGCACCCCCAGCCCTTGGCTTTTTGATGCAGGATCTGCTTGCTTAGCCTAAGCTTGCCTTAAATTTTCAGCCCTCCCTCTCTCCTTTGCCTCCTGAGTGCAGAGATGATTGGTAGGAGCAACCACACCTAGCTTACTTGTTTTGTTTTTTTTTTTCATGAGTATTTAAGGCTCAGATTTAATTCTCTTTTTGAATCTACATTTGGCTCTCAAATGCCAAAGTTTAAACTTTTATGACTTTGAAAAGCTTTGATAGAACTTCTGTACATGGGTAGCCTGGATCAGTATTTTCTAACGTGTCTAACTGCTTTTCTTGCAAAGAGTAGGGAAATTACTTTTGTTTACTATCACCATCAGTGGCCACATCCAGCTCCCTGGATTCTGGGGCATGGGCCTAGTTCCTGGGTGCCTTTTCTTAGGATGCTTTTTGTAAGAGCCACCAAGCCAAGGACAGTTAGTGCCATTTTAGATAATGGTTCTTTGTTTTTCATAGGGATTTCTTAGTCTGTTTTGATTATCTAATGACAAATTTGATTATCTTTTTTATGGTCAGAAAAATCAAGGTCTAAATAAATGGCTTGTCCAAATAAGTCAGCAGAAAGCCAGGATTTGTCCTCTCTGTGATATGTATGCACATAAACCACAACTAAGGAACAAGAACTGGTTTCCAGACTCCAGAGTCAGTCTGTAAGCACAGGGATTTAGTTGTTGGAATATTTTTATCTATATGTTTTCTTCAAGCTTACTGTTATTTTTCATATACATGCATATATATGTGCATACACACACCTATCTATGTGTGTGTATATGTGGTAGGAAAAATGTATATGTTAGGAAAGGATCTTCAGAGGAAGGCAGGTGCGGCCAGAGTAAGAACTACTGTTTCATGCCAGTTTTGATTATTGAGCTGTCTTCTATTACTCCAGCATATGGTTTACTTTTTAATAATTAAAGATCCCTAGTGGCTTTGCAGTTATAATTTGGCTTAGTCAGTTTAGTAGAGTTTCTTCCTCCTATCAGTTGGGCCTTATCTCTTTCTGTCTCTTAATGCGTACCACCAAGCTCCCTTTGTGCTGCTTTGCTGGGAAGGTAAGTAGAGTAGAGCTTAATCTTCCAAGAAAGTTGGCCCTGCCCACTGTGAGAGAAGGAAATCTGGAAATTCGTTTGGCTGATCATCACATCGATCCCGAGGAAGGCGATGATGATAGACCGTAACCAAATGATCATGTAGTAGCAGCTCCGCAGCCAGAGGGAAAAACCATGGTTGCTAATCATGCAGAGTTCTCATTTTCACCATAACGTGATGTCGATCATCAAGTGGATGATAGAATGGGGTCAAGTTGAGTGGAAAGGGAAAAAAAAGAGCCTTTACTTGTTAGCAGACTACAGAGCATTTTAAGGGTTTCAGAAGTTCAGCACAGAGTTTTTTAGTGGCATTTGATCAGATCATTATAGCAAATATATGTTTTTATTTTTTTCAGCTTTCCCTTCATTTCTGTGGTTTGTTGCAAACTAAATTATGTATGTTAAGATGCACTTAGCCTTTTAAAAAACCACTTCTGGGCAAGGAAAATTCTCAACATATTTGTGTTTAGAACAGTAATGTGGTTGCTGGGCAAATCAGTGGCAAAAATAATTTCTTGTCGAATGTGGTGGGCTTTGTGACTGCCTCATTGACTCCAGCATGTGGTTTTTCCTCCTTAGCTTGTTAACCTAGTTCAGTTTTGATTTTTTTACAATTCTGCAGAAAGTTCAGTTTAGCTTGAGACAAGATCCTTGATGAACAGACAGGTTTCAGAGCTTTAGTTTTGACAGTCTTGAGTTTTCATGCTGCTCAGAATTGATTTCAGGAAATGAAAAATGACCTTGTCATGCCCACATGTAGCCCAGCACCATATGTACTCACCCTGGTTATTAGGTGCCTTCTGTTACAGTAACACCTAGTGGTCATTGGCTTGACCTGAGGTCATGACCTTATTCCCCTTTCAGGACACCTGTGAAAGATCTCAGATGCTAAAATATATGGGTGAAATTGTTTCCCTTGTCACTCTGTCTTAGTGTAATATGAGCTTGGAAATTCAGTGGGAAAGTACCTGTTGACTAGCTTGTTGAAGTCAAGGTGTTCAGTTTATAGTTTGGTTTACACAGAGCATCCTGGGGTATAATACAGGGGTTCTAGAGAGCATACCCACACTCAGTACCATCAGCCAAGACTAGTCTGTTAAGGCATTGGCTTTGGTAAAAAGTTTAAAAGCTTGGGATCTTACGACAAAGGGACCTCTTCTGCAGTTGTCTACGGCTGCAGGTGAGGTTCCCAGTCCTGCACCGTCCATTTGCTTTGAAGTGGTGAAAGACTGGGAGGGCCGCAGGGCAGCAGGGCTGCAGGACCCGCTCAGGACTCACTCAGTCTGCCTTACTTGTGAATGAGTGTTCATTGTTCCCGCCTCACCTCTGTGCAGAAAGTAAAGGTCTCCCCACTCATGGACACTTACTTAACTTTCTTTCAATGTGTTCTTGTTCTGAAAATTGTATAAATCACAAATCCCACACTGAATGGCTTAGTTCAGTGCTCTGATACAGTTGTAACACAGTGTGGCAAGCTTTGTGTTGTTGTTGTGATTATTATGATTATTACTATATCTCCTAAAGACTTTTTTAGACATTCTCTTTTTTCCAAAATTCAGAACTGTTTCTTTATCCTCTGCTTAGGCCAGCTCCTGTGTATGACACAGAGATACATAGCACATAGATCTTTTCTGTTAATAAGAGGTTTCTCTCAGGCCTTTGTCGGAAATGCTCTTCCTGGGGATGGTAAAGCCTCCCTTCATCAGGTCCCAGGCTCTCAGGAGGAAACTGCTTCAGTGGCTGTACTTAATGAAGGGAGAACTGGTCTCAAATCCCCAGTGTTCATACCGTGATCCTAAATGAGGAAGTGCATCCATTTGG